CTGAGTGTTTACTCTTTGTGTCATAGTCAAATCTCAGGCTAGAGGAAGCCACAGGAAGCAGCAGGTGGGTCCTGTGAAAATCAGAAGGAGACTACAGACTGGCAGATGCCTGGGCAAAAGATTACCAATTGAGGAGTGCTGTAGAACAGCTAAAGCCAGAAAAGAAGCAGAAGTCAGACTCTTAGGCAAGTTAAGATATTTAAAAGTAGCTCTGTATATGGGAGAATAGGAAAAAAGCAAATGCACAGGCCTACAGAAGACACATTCAGGAAAGGCCTGCGTAGACTTTAGGCTTCACCCCAGGCTGATTAGTTAAGGCTTTTCCCTGCACAGAGTCAATGTGCAATGTTGAAAGAGGTGGCTGTTTTTTTCAAATGCCCAACTTTCAACAAAAGGTCACAATGTCTTTTTAAAACATAGGTTTATTATTATTCAGGTATGGTGAGGCCAACAGATCAGAGACAATTGCCATGGAAAAGGTAGCTTATTAAACTCACAGATACCAAGAAAAGGGGGCATGCCACACAACTGAGGGCCACAGGGAGAAGAACCAGGGTCAGTCAGGAGACAGAGGAAACAGGGAAACAGTGGGCAAGAGCCTGTGTTGTGGTTTTTGTGGGAAGAAGTGGTCAAGGCAGAGTAAGCAGGTTTAGGATTGGGTGGTTTCAGTAATTGTAGTAGGCTCTAGGGTATGCAGCTGTACCTAGTTGTCAGGTGCTTGGCCTGGGGTGATTGGGACAGGAGGATAGTGACCTTGAGTGTGAGAGTCAGATAAAGGATGTAGTTGGGGATGTGGGTTATGAATTGGCTAGTTTGCATATAAAAGGCACACTAGAAGGTGAGCAGTTTACAATAAGAATTAGCTTGCTCCAGGAGAGCCAGGCTCTTCAGGGTCAGCAAGTCCCCAAGATGACAGAGAGTCAAAAATGGGCTAAAGAATAAATAACAAGGGAAACTAGAAAATATCTTGAAAGAAATGAAAATGAGAACACAACCTCAAAATTTATGAGATGCAGCAAAAGCAGTGCTGTAAGGGAAATTCATAGCTGTATATGTATGTATTAAAAAAGAAAAAAAATCTTAAGTCAGCCTCCTAATTTCACTCCTTTAAGCAACTAGAATAGAAGAATAAACAAACTCCAAAGATACCAGATTAAAGGAAATAATAAAGGTTAGAGCAGAGATAAACAAAATAGAGAATAGAAAAACAATAGAGAAAATTAAGAAAACCAAGATATGGTTTTTGGAAAGATCTTTAAAAATTTGACTAACATTTGCTAGATTGACAAAAAAGTGGTAAGGCTCAAATAACTAAAATAAGGAATGAAGGAGGAGACATTATTACTTTTTATTTTACAGAAATAAGGATCATAAGAGAGTACTATGAACAATTATACACTAACAAATTAGATAACCTAGATAAATTGAATAAATAGATAGAAACACACAACCTACCAAGACTGAATAATGAAGAACTGGAAAATTTGAATAGAGTTATAACAACACTTGCAGTGTAATGGCATAATAATGATGACAAAGTTCTGCTGAGAATAGCATGAAAACCCAGGGGACTGACACTGAGTCTAGGTCATGCAGGGTTCTTCTGGAGAACAGGATATTTCATCTTGAAGAGTTAGTGGGATTTAGGCAATTTGTTTAAAATGGGTAGGGATAGGAAGAGACTAAGTGGAAATGTGGAGAGAATAGAAGGGGACTTCAAGCAGAAGGAACACATGAGAAGGCCTTGGACCATGTATGTAAGACATGCATCCCAAAGCATCTAGTGTATGGTCCAGATAGACCAGGCAGGGAAGTGACAGAACTGGAGAGGTGGGATGAAGCTTCTGCTCAAGCCATGGAGACTATCACAAAGGCAGGGAGTGGGGTTATGAAGGATTCTAATGAGAGCACTGGCATGGCTGGTATACATTCATATAATTCATTTTCTGTTGCTTATAACAGAATACCTGAAACTGAATAATTTATAAAGGAATGAATTTTATATCTCACAGTTTTACTACCTACAGTTTCAGAGGCTGGGAAGTCCGAGATCCAGGGATCAGACTTAGTAAGGGCCTTCTTCTTGGTGGGGGCTCTGTACAGCAACTCAAGGTATCATATGGTGAGAGAACAGCACGAGCTACAGAGCTGACCTCCTGGCTTGCTCTCCTTATGANGAGGCAGAAGCCTATAACCTGTGAAATGAAAACTATTGATTACAATAACTGGAATTTTATCCCCCAATGACAGAATGATGCTGCCATGAAAATATATTTTAATTAATATATGCTTCCATTAAACATGTGAGACTTAAATTTGGCTCCATTTATGAGCCCTAATCCCATGTCTTATAATTCCTTGAATCACCATGTGGCACATCGCTGCCTGGGGACACCGGAGCAATGTTGAATGGACAATAATCGCCAATCAATTGTGTCCTGGATGCATTGCTTCCTGGGTTGCCAGATGTTCCTGATGATGCTCATGGCAAAAACATCTACTGAAAAGAGCAGGCTTTTCTTTTATTTGTTGAAAAGTTATGTTGACTTGAAAAATACATTTATTCTTAGTTATTGGAAATTTCTTTAAAGGTATTTTATTTCTTTATGTCAAAATTTCAATTCTAATTTGACCCGTTTATGAAGTCATCATGGGAAAGGGAGTTTTGTGCAATCAATTGGAAACATACAAGACACAGCAACACAGGAGGGTGTGTTGTGAATTATTATCAAAATATTGATTAAGAACTTAATAAGCAGGGCTTTGAACAAAAATATTTTATCAAATCCCTTAATGCTTGCTTGCTCTTATGGGAAATGGACAGATCTAGAACAACGGGGGTACCCCAACAAGGTCATAGAAAGACTTGTATTATCTTTTAATTCAATTTTTTCACGAATGTTTTGAAATATCCTTGTATTTGCTTAACAATTTTAATAAAACAAAAGCTTGCCCCTATTGGAACTTGGATAAACCCCTTGATAGCAGAGGTTGTGTCTTGCTCACTGTTTTGGCCTCAGCAG